CAATTTAGCTTGTCACACGCGCATCGACATGAGACTGATCCAACAAATTTGCCTCTCTAAAAACGCACAATATGAGCTAGTTTTCAAAGACCGCAGCTTGTTTGATTGGTTTTCGCCAGTGCTTCAGAAGTGGAATCTTCCGAAGGGCTCAATGTTGCTTAATTGATGTTTGCAAATAGTCTCATGATGTTTCGAAAATGTCATAAGCGAGCTTAAAGGGAATCTCTGACAACAGCGGAGAACAAAATGCTATTATTATTTTTGCTTTTGTGGTGCAATATTTCTTGGATACAAATCAATTCCATCGAAGCCGGAAAGTGCCTCTACGATTTCCCAGGTAAAGCCTGATTCTGATGATTTTGTAAACCCTTTTAATAATACTTTTTCCTTCGAATACGTAAACTAACAGACTCGTTAGTTACCTAGGTTAACTCTGCCGAAATGATTCACGTTGAGGTCTCATGAACAATAAATTGGGAGGATTTTGGCTGGTCATGTCTAAATTGTAGGTTGTAAATTAATAGGTTACGGTGGATAGAGGCCGGCATTGTCTTTTTTTCATGCATGCCAAGCCATGAAATATTGAACTCAGACAGTCTGTTAAATACTGTTCTACTTAGTTAAACATGCAATGTGTCCTTTTAAACACTTCTTTTTACTTTATATCTTTCTCCCTATGAGTTTTTGAATAAACATTTATTCGCCGAAGCTCAGATTTATTTAGTTTTGGCCCTTTATTTCAGAATCCAAAGGGCTAAGAATTGAAATTAGACTAGTGAAGAAGTTAGGATGTTACAGATGTTAGTTTAATGTCTTTGGTGGGATCGGGTGGTCCCCCCTCTCCCCCTCCCCAGCCGACAGTGGCCAAATAGTTACCCATCAACAAGTCAGCTGGTGCTCGGTGTAATGGATGACCTAGCCTGCATAACTGACAGGCGCTTTATATGAGATCTTATGAGCCAAGTAAGGCTAACCTGGGACCAGGCTCCGCAGTGGGCAAAAAAGGCCAAAAAAAACTCGCTTCGCTCGCCGATTTTTTTCATTTTTCTTCCAGTGCGGAACCTGGTCCCAGGCTAAGCGAGGCGAACGTGGCATTTTGCGCAAAACGAGGGGAGGAGAAAAATAACGCTTCGCACTTGTTTCGCGCTTTGCGCAAAATGCCGCGTTCGCCTCGCCTGGCTCATAAAGCGCCTGTTCATATGCGGGCTATGGATGACCACGCACGCGTGAACCTCGAGCGCACGCAACGAGTCTTAATTCTTGCATTATGATACAATCACTGTATAATGTTGGAGACCCGACTCGAGAAGCGAGTGTGTAATCGCGTCACTATGGTTTTCGGGTTTTTTGTTTCACTTACTGTCTCATCTGATTAAAGCCTTGAAAACTTTGTAAAATCTTGCCTCCTTCTGCAATGTTATTTTAACCATGTAACTTCAGCGACATTACATAGCAACATTGCAGAGGAAAAGGGGAGTGCATGGGCGTTTCAAAGATTTTAGACAAGGACAGGGATTGTAGTCTTTCTACCAATTGAATTCGCAGAAATGTATATAGGAAAGACCACAACAAAAATATGCTCTTGCTGGTGATTTAATATTAGGCAGCTTCCTTTTCCTAGAATAGTCAAGAAAGGAGGGCTACCCACATACAGAGATTTTAATTTTTCTATTTCTCAACAGATCCAATTCTTAAGAAGAAGTTCACTTTTCAAGGACAAACTATACCTCTGACGATTTCTCACGGCGAACACGCTTCCCATTTTGCAACGGCTCACCTCACCAAAATTCTAGTCGAGGAGGGACTGGGTTACAGCAAAGCCAAATTAGTATTTTGTGACGTCATCGGAGCAACAAGGAGTTGTTGGAACGACAGGTAATCCATCATTTCATTGTTTTTGTAAGAGAAGAAGCTTAAGCGGGCTCACAACGGTTTTCATCAGGTTTCAGTGCTTCTCCTTTGATGGATCAACATCAATGAACGCTTTTTTTTTGCTTCAATAGAAAGTATCAAGCAATACCAGGTCTTCACTGAATAAGTCAGGGTCTTTCAGTTTGATTTAATAAATTACCATAGCAACGATATACTCTATAACACTCTTAAACGATATGTCAAAGTTCAAGCTTTCATACAGTTTCTAAAATTTAGAGAAAGCGGGTTTCCTTAATGATGGGATGTCTGTATCCTGTGGTTTCCAGATTTCCTGATATACCTCCCCGGGCTATGATTGCCCCAGAGGTCTGGTTACCATTTGACCATCGAGATTCCGAAACAAGTGGAAAGATGACTGATATCGGATCGCTTGGGATCATGGGCAGGTACTTGTATAGCCATAGCTTATTTCAATCTACCATTTTGGAAACTTCAGCTATCGATTAACAGGATCTGTCGATGATACCTAATTCTTCTGTGTTGTACTTCTTCATTAAAAACGCAACACCATACATTTTTTTAAATCAATCATTTTTTTAAATTTGCGGAATCCTATAATGTCTAGTATTTCTTCATTCTTACGCCCTAAGTAAACAAATTTCAAAAGTGGAACGTTGGACAATATAAAGCGGCTACCCCATCGAAACTCTTAGCTTCAGAACGCTAGAGGGTCGCTTGGGTATGTCGAATCACTCTAGAAGCAACTTTGAAGAAATTTTGCAGGCTAAGAAGCAAACGTTTTTACTTTATTTAACAAGGGCAGGTTGGTTTATAAGCGCTGACTTTGTTGACCGCGTGTGGACTGTTCACCGTACCCCTGCTGACCACTGGAGGGCGCTGCAACTGCCATTTGTCCTAAAGCAACTGTCCTCACTTTCGGACCTGATCGAATGCCGGGGATGTGTAGAAGACGAATTTCATCCTTCCCAGTGTTCTCAAACCAATCAAACTGGCGCGCAGTGTGTAGTTTTGTTGGCTGGACACAGAGGTACTGTCTGAGTTTTAGCAACTTGTATCTACATAGCAATTATAAGCAACATCACAAAAGTAAAAGAGGCTCTAGAACGTTACAACAAACCCCCGGAGGGCACTCGACCAGTATTTGGGTATAGGTGAGCTGCTGAGGGTTTGAAACTCTGACCCTGTTTACAACAACAACAAAAAAAACGCGTAAAATACATACCCTGTTTACGACAACACTCTCAATTTTATTACCCTGTTTAGGTCAAAGGACAAAATGAACGCCGTGTAAGAAAATTATAGCGTCATTTTGGCAGTAAAACTCGTCACGTGATCTGAGAACTGAACTGTGTACAAGAGTCTAGGAACTGTGTAGTCGTTCGGAGTCGTGGAGCTGATCGAGACGGTGTCGATTGAGTGTAGATCATCGACATTTTACAAGAATTGATGACGATAAATCCATATAAACAAGTGTAGAACAGAGTACAGAATTCTAAAATATGAACATGTGAAGAAATATACTTTCAAGGGAGTGAAGAATTAAAGCTACAGAGAACTGGTTTTATCGCACATAATTTATGACACGCCGTCTTGTTTGCAGTAGAGCAAATTTAAGTTATGGTCATTGATTTTGTATACTTGGAGTACAAACAAATTTCATCTACCAGATCTGAATCAATCGTGCTCTCAAAATTATATACCCTGTTTTTAGGACACAGAGGTCAAAAACCATACCCTGTCCAACTAGCGGCTCATCGTACCCCTTATAGGCCATCTCCCAGGAAACTCCCAGTTTCGTGGTTTTCGTTGTCTTATAGCTAGCAAGCATACACACTTCCATATCTGTTGTTGTGGTTTGGATAGTGGCAGCTATGGACAACTGTTTGTCCTTGTTAGTACTTGTTATGGCACGATTCCCAGGAAGAGCGGGGGACTCCGAAGTAATCGTGACTTACCATCTACCTTGCAATATCGAGATCATTCTCGTCCCCAAAGCCGAGTGGCTCTGGGGACGAGAATGCACTAGGGAGAGTCTAGGAGCACTCCTTTTCGCTGCGCATGTGTAAGGTTATTCGTAGCCTGTGTGCAGCCTTCCCCTCCCCTCCGCTCAGAATTTCTGAGGGGAGGGGGGCTGCTGAACACAGGCTAGGTTATTGGCCATACCGCGGAAATTATTTTCGAGTGCCAGTCTCCCTAATTTTTTATCATTATAAATACCCTTATTCCTTATAAGAGTAATGTCTCTTCTGAAAGGGATTTTAATTAACTTCTGATGTTTACATGCCATACCCTTTCTCCTTCTTGCAGACAACGCTAGTCAGCTGGCTGTGGATCAGATAACAAGTCTACAGTTAAACATTTCTATAGTTTGGCTAGGGAAAAGATTGCCTTTCACGATAATAGAAAACAAAGCAAAAGGAAAACCACTGCTATTTTACACCTGGGATCCAGACCCCTTAACCTTAACAGGAGATTTCAGAAGGATTTCCTTTCCAGACTGCAAGTGAGTATACCGCTATTTTCTAGGTTTATGGGATTACCAGGTTTGGTTTAGATAAGGGGCTCCAATTGTGTGGAGAATGCCGGCCTGCGGGTGATTAATGATGTTGCATTTGGGCTTGCCAAACTCGTGTTAAACGAGAAATGACAACGCATGCAGCTTACCACAAATTCTCGCGATTCCAAGACTCCTAAATACACTTCAGTAAACTAATGTTTTCGGTTAGCCAAAAAAAAGGATTGATGGAGAGCCAATTTGCTAAGTGTTTAAAGATGCACTGTTCCTTGTAATTATTGTAAGATCATGATGCCCTCCGGGGTAAACACGTTTTCATTTCTGTCGTTTAGTATTTTTATTATTATTATTTTCTTAGCGTTCCTAAAGACGATATTTCGCTGACAAATCAAAGGAGGATCATCTCTACAGCATGTGATTTTTCAGTGTATGACCTTCACAAATACATATGGAAAGAAATACAGAAACGCTATAATGACATTTACAGGCTCGTTAAAGCAATCACCCTTACCAGAGAACAACTAACGGAATTAATGCGACCAATCAACGCAACACGATATAACGCATCAATTGAAGAACACGTCTGCAGATGGCTGAATAAGTCACGTGATGTTTGGTTTCCATGGATACAAGCACAGACTGCCACTAAAAGAACAGTGTACATCGGAGGGATGTTTCCAAGCCTAGAGGAACCAAAAGCGATATGGTCTAGCCCGGGGGACGAAATAGGCGCCCAGATGGCTGTCTACGAAGTTAATAACGACACGAGTATCTTAAATAGTTTAACACTTAAATTGCTTGTTGCACCCACGCAGTGTAGAAGAGAACTCGTTATTGGAGCATATATTCGTTACCTAAATCGTGATCCGTCAGAGAATGTAATCGGTATTTTAGGTCCGGCGTGTAGCAGGGCCACGCTTCCTATTGCAGAAGCATCACGTTTTCGCAAGACAATTCTAATGGGTTACGGAGCCGATGACGTGTCGCTATCTGATAGGACAAGGTTTCCCTTGTTTTTCCGAACAAATCCGAGTGTTGATGAATTTAAGGCTGCATACCTCTCGCTTTTCCGCGCGTTCGGCTGGAAGCATTGTGCAATCTTGCGCGAAGCAAAGTATCCTGTGGACACAGTCCGGTCGCGCACCGAGTTCCTGAACAGACATGGAATACAAGTGCTATCTCGTGAGTTAACATCCAGTGGGGACCTGGACGTTAGTGGTTACATCAGCACTGTGGTAGAGAGTAAAGTAACAGTTATCATTCTGGACGCTTACCCAGCAGTCACCAGAGCAGTCACGTGTCAGGCCTACAAGCAGGTAATACATTTAGCCTAGATCAATAGCACTGATAATAGACCTCTTGTTTGTTCTCCCATTGGAAGTCATGTGTCGCACTTGGCTGATCATCACATTTCTATCATTTTCCAAAAACACTGTCAACATTCCAGTCCTAGCAGTATGCAGGATGTATGTCACATGAAGCTAGTTTAGCAGTCTTAGCTCTAACAAGTCTCCTATAGCTCAGCGGTAGAGCATCTGGACAAGTAGTCAGAATAGGGAACTTGATTAAACGCGTTTTCGTGCGACGCACGCCAAAGGAAGTGAGGCCTTTTCTGTTTTAATATGTCTCGACGCTAGCAAATTTGGACTGTTAAGCGTCTTTACTCATTTAGAGACGATTTGCCTGAATAATTGGGCAAGACCACTTCTCAAGAATGCAAGAAATCCACTTCCGGTTGACGTTCGTCTCTCAAAAACGTGTCGGCTCGACTCCTGTTAGTCTCCCTCGCAGCCGTTTTTTGGATGTCACGCAACGCTCCCCCAAAAGAAAGAGAGAGAGACTAGACTCCCGTTGGCAGTACACAGATTTTTTCCTCCGTACCGCGTGTGTCATGGACATGACTGAAGAATTAAAAATCTTTCTCATGTCCTAGGGTTTGACGGCAGAAAATGGTTACGTATGGTTTTTGTTGGACTGGTTGGAAATTGGTTGGTGGGATGTAGATTTCTACAACAGCCGTAGTTACACTTCGCCAGAGAATGTTCCCTGCACCTCAGATCAATTGAAGTCGTTCGTTGATCAGGGATACTTTACTTTATCGTCTCCATTCTTCGGCGATGACAAGCAGAAGGTTGTGGGAGGAGGAACTGTCAAGGAATGGAAGGAGCGCTACATATTTCGTGTAGCGAGTGAGGTACTTATCTATAAGTAGTTCTTCTACTCTTTTGTCAGGCAATTGCTGATTCTGACCGATATGCATCAACTCAGAGATAAAAAACTATTCTATACAAGTATAAGGGCGAGGAAATACAAAATAATATTTCAAGAAAATAGAATTACACTTGGCTTTGAAAACAGTGATGTTTCTCACGGGCTTTGAAGCTTAAGGCCATTCTTTGACATTTTACACTTAAATATTTCAAATGCTATATTTTCCCGATTACCTTCTACTGTACGCTTGTTTTAGTTCACTACAGCTAACTCAAATATGGTCTATTATAATTCAGAACAAGGAGTTGTCAGATTATGCCTCGTTTGCGCATGACTCCGTGTGGACGTACGCTTTAGCACTGGATCAACTGCTCAAGATTGACTCCACAGCCTTAGATACAATCCACTCTAACAAAACCTCAAAGTAAGAATTTTATCACAGTTAAATATTCAGCCTTGTCTCTGTAGCAGTCTGTTTGTAAAGAAAACCACGGTACACGGATTAAACTTGATCTCCAGACGTTTATTCCACAGCAATAAGTGCGTGACTGCCCTACAAGCCCGCTTTTCTAAACTCTACCTACAACGGTGTCGAAAACCACAAGTTTGATCCATTCTTAGATCAGAGGGGGCTATCTCTATGACAATACAATAAAATGCAATACAATAAGTTTCCCCCGATAGCGTGACCATGGGACACGCTTGCGTTACGCTAACATCTACTGGATTCACTTACATGTACTTATTTCTTGTTTACTACCAGAATTTTCCGAGAGCGTATACAAGAGGTTAACTTCCTTGGTGTCTCTGGGCGAGTTCATTTCAAAAATGGAGATCGCTTAGCCAGTATACTCATCAAACAGCAATTCGTCTCACGCTACGAAGTCATTGGTCAATTTGTTCACGCCAAGGACTCAAATGGCTCTCTCCCAGGCCACCTTGAGTGGGATCCAAGCAGGATAAAGTGGGTAACGGGACAGATACCAAGCGACCTTTTGCCCGGTAAGCTAAACGTATTTATCTTTGTTACAAGGGGACTAGGAGGACTATGGTCCATTTTAGAAAGCGTAGCAGGTACCAGCACCAGTTTTGTTTTGGGGGGGGAGGGGGGAAGGGTGGGGTGGGTAGGGCGTTGATGAAGGGAGAAATTTCGAGGACGCGCTCGAGAGAAAAGAGAGAGAAAAGCTTTATAACAACTATCAAAAAAACTAAACGGTGTCTGCTGTGCGCACAGGCTAGGTCTATTTGTTTGTTTGTTTTTTTTTTTCAACTTATTACATTTCAGTAAACACCAAACTGACACGAACCCCTTTTTTGGCTCACAAGGAGATATTCTGGATCTTATATGGATTTTTTTATTTTACTTGGACAGAACCTGGCGGTAAAGAGATATGCAGCGTAGAGACTCTGAGAAAAGCTCTCAACGTTTCCTGTCGGGTAGCTATCACTGTAGTCGTTGTTATCGGTAAGTTAAAACGTTATGCGACGTTTCGACGACCTTCTGCCTGTCTTCATCAGGCTTAGACATCGACTGCTGATAACAGGTCACCAAGCGTGTGTATCACAGTGATCGCTGTTATTGGTGGAACTGTTCTTGCTATTTTACGAAGCTGTTCTTTTTCTGAGGTTGGTCAGCGGAGTTAATTTGACCAATCACGACGGGGATAGAAACTCTAATCAACCAATCCAAGCTGAAGAAAATATTATACTGAAAGCTGGCTCTAAGTGCGGAGAAAGCGATTGATTGGTTGGGTTATCGGTGCGATTTTTCACAAGTGAGGCTTGGGTCAAATGTCGAACTTCACATGGGCCGAACCTAAAGGTAATAAGCAAGAACAGATTTTGCTCATAAACATAGGGTTTAACATGTGATGTTTGACGTTTGACTTCGGCCTAAGGCGAGGCAAAATAAAGTAAAAGACGAAATATGTGTCATCTATTTGTTGAACATTGCTCTGTTAGATGCGTAATTGTCTCGCTAATAAATATTTTTTCTCTTTTAAAGCGGTGTCATTGGTGTCAGTAATCCTTATGATCGTAGGATGTATTTTGAAAGGAAGGTGAGGATCATACATATCCAGCCTCGTCCCTAGAGCGTCAGTTTCCGTAGAAACGGGCAGGGACGGAAAAAGCTCTGTAGATGACTGAGGTTGCATGCATATCACTAGCCCTCATGAATCATGTAAACGGTCTCCTATTTCTCTTCATGTAGGCCACAGGGTCATGTATTTCAGTAAAACTAAAAAACTACTTCATACACTATTTCATCAATGGCAAATAAAAAGTAACATGCAGGGAAGCTATTGATTTATGGTCTCTGTATTGGTTGGCCTCTTTAAAAATTCATGTCGACTGTTTAGGTCCTTTTTGCGTTTCCTAAACAATACTAGTTTTATTTTTTTGACCCTCGTTCCCTTTTCAAAACTTAATTTTATTTCAACTCATTGCTATACTAAAAGCGCTTATGTGTGAGAAGAGTATCGAAATTTAATCACTGTTAATTCAAGCACATTTTTGCCTAAAACAAAAGAAATCTATTTACACTGCTCCTATAAGCCAAGCATTCTTTGTACCTCCATCGATCAATCGCCGGGGACTCTGTTCTGCAAAATCAAACCATCCACAAAATAGATTGTCTGCGTCTCTAGCAAAATAATGATGGAAAGAAAAATGTTAAAAATAAACTCAAACTCGTCGAGTTTGCATATTAATAAAAGAGCTGAAATCTCAGCTCGCATCCCGTATTTATTCCAGCTTACTTGTGCCCTTTTCTTTATCGCTAGATATTCCTCAAAGTATCGCGACACTAAAAAGCGGCTGCGCGAGCTGGGCCTTCTGGACGCCAACTCTACAGGTGCTATATTTGCTTTAGATGACTGGGAAATGCCGAGAGAGAAACTTATCCTCAATCGAAAACTTGGAGAAGGAGCCTTTGGAGCAGTCTTTGGCGGAGAAGGCCTGGGACTAATGGGATCTAACGTCTCGGTTCCAGTAGCTGTGAAAACGCTCCGAGTTGGTGCAACTATTGAAGATAAGGTTGGTTTCATTTACCGCGAATCGCTTTGAGCCTAATCTCGAAGTTTAAGGCCACTTGCAACTTTTGTTTAGTCATAATTAAGTTCGTTGATTTGCAAATTCCTTAGGAGTTCTTTGCTCTTTATGAGGAGTCGCGGAGTCGTTAAGTGGGTCTTAGTTTAGAAATTTTAAATTTTTTACTTTCTTTTATTTTAATTCGACTATTTACATACTTTGCTGCGTTTAACAATATTGTTTAACGCTCGAAGCCCGCCTCGGATTGTATGTGAACCTTAATGTTCATCACAGAACGTATCACTAGAAACTTTTGAGAAGTATATGTGGTTTATACTGTTGCTTTAACGTCAGGGATGGAAGAGCTTTTTTTCAACCAATTGACTTGAAAGATCTCTTGCCGATTTTGCAGGTGGAATTTCTTAGCGAGGCAGATAACATGAAATTATTATCTCATCCAAATCTCGTCAAACTGATGGGCGTGTGTACCACAGGGGAGCCAGTGTATATTGTAATGGAACTTATGATACACGGTAAGAAACTGTAAATGTCGTTCATCCATTTATCCATCTATGTCAGCAACGCACAGGCAACCCAACTATTCAAATTTGCCAAAGCTTTTAAGCAATTTTAGATATTTCAACAGAGAACTCAACACGACGAAACTATTAGGGAGTTATGGCTTTTTCCCAAAGGCAACTTGATTCCGACTTTTAAATGGTAATGAAGATGATTATAATGATGATAATGATTAAAAGAGAGCGAATTACCAAGGCAAATATTTTTCTGGACTTTCTAGGAATCAACACAGCGCTTCTTTGGTCGGCTCTGAAAATTTTTTTTCATAGGTGTGCCAAAACGACGTCGCGTACTCTTTGTTTAATTTCTTGTCTCCATTTTAAGGTGATTTGAAGAACTTTCTTCTTGCCCGTCGCCGTTCTGTTGATCAGCCGGAGACACCCGAGGTAAGGTATAGTTTCTTCAGGAACTATTTACTGTGAACAACACTTTCTTCACGTTTATGTCCTATCCGCCAAAGGGGGCCTAAAGAAGATGTGAAGGATAACTTCTCCGAAAATCATGGGGTAATCCATTCCCCCTGGGCGTTCAGTGAGCCCGATCTATTACGTTTTTATCCCAAGAAATCAGGCGGACGTCCATCTTAATACCCCAGGACATTCCAGATACGTAATCCCCTTTCTTTTACTCGTGAATCCTGGCTTCATTCCCAAGTCTTGAGTTCCCATTCCACAGTGAGAAATATTCCGTTTTTTGACGGAATCAGCTTAGTCCTGGGAGCTACCGGCCTGACGCGTCCGAAATTGGCTCTAATCAGATGGATGGGCACATCGGTGATGTTGCGCAAAGTTGTTCTCAACTGATCTCTTTTTAGGCAGATGATGTTACACCTCGCAAACTGACAAGCATGGCTTTAGACATTGCTCGCGGTCTGCAGTACCTAGGAGACATGAAGTTTGTTCACAGGTGAGCCCGCCTTAAAAAATGCTTCTTGTTGGCAAAGCGCTGCAGCTTATCAATGTATAAGTACCTTATGTACTCTAAGCATGCCTCCTTTCGGTTTATTGGCTTCGCCGCCTACGCAAAACTCAAACGAGAAATCTCTGGTTGCATCAAGGTCTCTACAACATAGGAGATTCAGTTCAGAATCCAAAAAAACGTTTTATAGTTTATATATATATGTATATCTTATCTTAAGAGGAAAGGAGCATCCCCATGTAAGGGAATTCCAGGACAGTCTTAGATTCTGGATTCCACGTCGTGGATTTCGGATTCCAGGTACTGGATTTCAGCCTTTGTCAGTGGAACTCGGATTCTGCATTCCAATCTTTGGCGGATTCCGAATTCCTTGAGCTGTATTCCGGATTCCAAAGCCCAGGATTCCGGATTCCACAAGCAAAATTTTCATAGATTCCAGATTCAACAAGTAAATATTCCGAGGATCCGGATTCCTTACATGGGGTAAAAAGGACAAGCCTTATCTCCATCTTTGGGAAACGGACAATTCTTCTTATGTTATCGCTGACACCAAGCGCAAGGTAATATAAGGACCATTTAAATTATGGTCTCTTTTTCACTTTCCATTTTGTTTTATTGCTATTAGGGATCTTGCTTTACGAAACTGTATGGTAGGTTTTGGAAACGTCGTTAAGATCGGCGACTTTGGATTGGCAAGACCACTTCAAGGCACTGACTACTACAGGTTCCAACGAAACGGTGAGGATATGCACTCGTCTGCTATTTCAGTTCTGTTTTAGGTTACATAGTATAAGCTTTCTCACGTGAGTAATAGAACAATAAACAGTTGCGGAGTTTCCATATCGATGCTAACAGAACAGATCCAAGTGATTTTATTATACTGATAGGTCTACTTATTAGGGAAGAAATAACTCACTCTCCTTTTTCACAACGCTCGTTTGATGAGTCTATACCAATGCAAATATACGGCTGTTTTGTTGCTTAGAGGTAAGGATTTTCTGTGAAGTTTCGTGACTTAAAAACCAAGTGCCATGCAAGGGGACGGGGGATCCAAATCGTGTAGAGAAGTGTCACTTACTGAGATCTCTCTTTTCGTAGGCGCCTTTCAAAGGGATAGATATTTGCATTGCTTAATTATTTGACAACAGAAATCACTTTTGTGGCTTTAAAACTACAGAGCAGTACAGCAGTATTTTAATTGACATTTGAAAACTCAACAGCGACATTAATAAGAACGAAAAAAATTGGGGAGGGGTGGGGGACGTTCCGGAACCCCTTAAGCTCCCCCTGGGTACCCCACTGGGTACCCCACTTGTCACTGGTAAGAAGGAGTTCAACTGAGGTATGTTTTGATCTGAAGCCCAGGCCACCATGTTACTTGCAACCTCGTCCGTCTAAAATTCCAAATGTCTAAAATTCCAGTCTTATGTCGTCAAGCCAAGAAAGTGCAATCGAGCTCCTATGCCCCGGTGCAAATTTCTCTTTCGTAAACGGTCACTGCCATTGTTAAGATACTTAGAAAATTGTTGACCTGTTATTGAGAGTGTTTCTATTAGAAGAAAGAAGATCGCAACCCAGGGTCGAACCCAGACCTTTCCTATCCTAATCTCTCTCCATTAATACAACATTACCACACCGACCCGCCAAAATTCCGAAAGTGCATTACGTAGCAAACTGTATTTTTTAACTGATAAATCGTGAACAGGTGACCCAAGCTCTTTCCAGAACTTTTAACGTAAATTCAACTTGGCCTTCAACGTCCTTCTTTCTAAGACTATTCAAAACTGTCTCATTTGCCTTGTTGTAACTTAATCCAGGGAATATATTACATCTATCATGACTTAAGGCATGGCCTCCAATGGTCGCATCGACCGTTAAAAATGGCAACTACCGTTTACGAAATGGAACTAGGCGCCTTCAACTCTGAATTGAATTTTCTTTCCTGAGGCATTTAGGGATGCTACCGGTGAGATGGATGTCGCCAGAGTCAATAAAAGAGGGATTATTTACGCTGCATACCGACGTGTGGTCGTATGGCGTCACTCTATGGGAATTGTCTACTATCGGTGGCTTTCCTTATCAAGGCCTATCCAATGCTGAAGTCTTAGAGAAGGTGGAATTGGGATGTACGCTAGAAATACCACATCANCCGTCTAAAATTCCAAATGTCTAAAATTCCAGTCTTATGTCGTCAAGCCAAGAAAGTGCAATCGAGCTCCTATGCCCCGGTGCAAATTTCTCTTTCGTAAACGGTCACTGCCATTGTTAAGATACTTAGAAAATTGTTGACCTGTTATTGAGAGTGTTTCTATTAGAAGAAAGAAGATCGCAACCCAGGGTCGAACCCAGACCTTTCCTATCCTAATCTCTCTCCATTAATACAACATTACCACACCGACCCGCCAAAATTCCGAAAGTGCATTACGTAGCAAACTGTATTTTTTAACTGATAAATCGTGAACAGGTGACCCAAGCTCTTTCCAGAACTTTTAACGTAAATTCAACTTGGCCTTCAACGTCCTTCTTTCTAAGACTATTCAAAACTGTCTCATTTGCCTTGTTGTAACTTAATCCAGGGAATATATTACATCTATCATGACTTAAGGCATGGCCTCCAATGGTCGCATCGACCGTTAAAAATGGCAACTACCGTTTACGAAATGGAACTAGGCGCCTTCAACTCTGAATTGAATTTTCTTTCCTGAGGCATTTAGGGATGCTACCGGTGAGATGGATGTCGCCAGAGTCAATAAAAGAGGGATTATTTACGCTGCATACCGACGTGTGGTCGTATGGCGTCACTCTATGGGAATTGTCTACTATCGGTGGCTTTCCTTATCAAGGCCTATCCAATGCTGAAGTCTTAGAGAAGGTGGAATTGGGATGTACGCTAGAAATACCACATCATTCTAGTAGGGAAATGTAAGTTTGTAGCATGTCGATCTTTCATGCAAATAAATGAATAAGTCAATTAATATCAATAACGATTTAGAGGTAGCTGATCGTATCCGCACAGTGGTTCCTCGTCTACCATTCCTGACCTGGGTTTGAGATTTAGGAGAAATGTTAGTTTTTTGAAGAGAGGGAAAAAACCCGAGTACCCGCGAAAAACCTTTCGAAACAAGGATTAAATTAACTGCAAAAACCGTGGACGAAGATCCTACCAGTTGTAAACGTTGGATCTCTAGAAAAGAGATCAAATCAGCCAAAATATAAAGAACCAAGAACGAGAAGTTCAAAGACTACTGCAAAGCTGATTTAAAACAATGTGTATTGTTTTTTATAACAATATTTCGGCTGGCCATACCAGCCTTCTTCAGGTTTACAGATGTTACTAAACTTATGTAGCAATCACAATATTATATAGATTGAGAATGTCGCAATAAAACAAGAGGGCGAACCGACAATCTCACTCACATAGGCCTCAACAAGGCACATTGGGGGGGAGGGGAGAGTTGCTCACATCATTTTTATGGAATTTAATTAGAAATCTAGCGATTTTAGTCGTTCTGGAAGGCAAAGATTTCTTTTCTCTTTCTTCAGCAACCATGTTGATATTAGGATCTGCACTTTGTTTTTATTTTAGGGCGTCGTTACTTCGCAAATGTTGGAGCCAGGATCCATCGCAAAGACCAAAACCTTCAGAGATTGTTCGAATCCTCATCAACAATCCAGAGTTTGTCCGTGCAAGTATTGAGATACCTGCTACGACATTACTGGACAATAGTGTTGGTACCTTTGACGCCAGAAAAGTTTCTACGCGTGCGCGAACAGGACAGGGGAGCCCACAGTCAATTAACTCTTTTCGCCGTTCTGATCAAGTGAGCAGCACTATGAATTTAACTCTTGCGTAACAAGGAAATGACGCAATTGAGTAAAGCACTGTTAAGCCTAACACAGGACGGACAAAAAGGCATTCCTGCATCCTATGAAGAAAAAAGTCTGTGCTGTCTTAGAGCAAAAGATAAAAGAAGAAGTATATTTTTGCATTTTACATGTGACAAAATTGTACTTAATTTTCGAAGTTATTTTGCTATAGTCGGCAATAGCACTTGCTATCAAATTGCTGAGAAACGACAATATGCAAATTGGAGCCAAAATTCAAAATGGCTGTTTTTCCGCTGGCCAAAAGGATCAAGGCTCGTCTGGGAATGACCACAGCGCGCGATTGCTTTTTCCAAAGGTTTTATGAGAAGACAGAGGACAGACAAGCGCAGTTTGATATTGGTTCAACTGATTCCTTATACAAGGCCTAAATGTACTGCGAAAGAATCTGTTATGAAAGGTTTTTGATGCAGATATGTTTCATGACTTTTTTGTCCTTCGATGCCTCTCACTTCTCGCTTGTCTCCAGTCCATCTCGCTTCTCACTTTCTCAGCCATGGAGATCCTGAAGGTCATTTTCCTCTTTTTTTTCATTTGACTAAATGTTTCCGGTTAGTCCTTTATCTCCCAATAAAATCATATCTCTCTGCTTCGTATTTTTCCTTTTGTATAAATGCTTTTTTGTAATTTTTTTTTCCCCGTTGAATTTTGTATCTGTTTTCTTTCTAGTAATATTACATTAAAAAGCATTTTGAAAGGACATTTACAATTTTTATCGAAATCATTTGTTGCCCTTAGAGGATGAAAGAAGGCTTAACAAGAAGTCTTGGAAATAAATAAAGAAATAATAATAAAGAAATCGTGCAACCACCTGCAGACACCAGTCAACAGGTTTCGGTCTCGCTTTTTCAGTTAAAAGCCTTTTCAGAGGATTTAGTAAATGTTCTGTCAGGGTTTATTGTTCCCAAGGGAAAAGAACGGACATTTTTACTGTTTACTAAGACGTTGAGGCAAGTTTATAATAGCGAGAAATTTCATTTATTGCGAAATGAAAATAAGAACTGGAGAAAGATCCCGGTGAAATATTTAAGGTAAGTCGGAAAACCTTATCACTGTTCAAGCAGGCCGCTGGCTTTAGTTAAGTTACAATTAATGTCAAAAGGCAATTGACAGCAGTTGAACAAAATAGTGGGAAAATAAGATTAGAAAAGATAACATAATCGTTAAAGCCGTTTTACATTCGTTATGGAATACGCGTCGCCCAGCTTATTTAAACCCACTTTACTAACTTAACTAAAGACTTAACTTAATCCGTTCTTGCTTTCAGAGCTGCGATTCTTTTGGTCAGCGAGTGCTGACCAAAAGGATCGCAGCTCAAGGACTGGGAACTAGAATGAACCAAATCGCGAGAGCAGTAAGCAGTTCGAGAGCAGCAAAATGGGGTGCTTGACTGATAATTTTGGAAACGGGCAGTCATGTGATTGTTGTACCGGAGCAAATAAGCTCTAGAGGTTCAGGAGTGAGCATAAATTCGGTAAATAATTTTTTTTTCCTTTTTGAGATATCAGTTAGCAAAGAGCTTGGATTATCCAGCTTGCTTTGGTCATGTTTCAGAGAGGATAATTTTGGTTTTTTTCAGTAGATCTGTTTAAAGCCTTATGATTGGCTGGAATTAATGCCTAGCGCCACTTTTTGAAGGATAAAGCAAAAGTCACTTGTACTTTGTTCACAGATGTTCTTCCGCAAAAACGCTGGCCAAAATAAATGATTCGATTTCTGATTGGATTATTGCGACAGCCTGCTTTATTTCCATTGTTTTGTCTAGGCCAGGATAAACTCTATTTTTTGCCTAATTTCTTTAAAATTCGCCTGGAGTGATTTCACCGCATTAGTGGTTAAGAATTATTTTAGACAGTCTAATTATACCTGCTCATTTCTGAATCTGAGAAATTGTCAACTCAACTTTTAACCTGGCGTATGCCGTTTGCTTTAAACGTGATTCAAAATCTCAAGTAAGAACAGGAGATCATACTAGGTCATATTATGATCTCTTTGTAAGAAATGTTTTAACTGCACTTTAGTATACTTGGCTTTAAAATGACAGGGATATTTCTTTTTAATCTAGCTCTCACTTGAACTTAAAACTGAATTTTATCGAAAGACAAGATCGTGTCACCATGCTTCGCCGAAGAAAGTATCAACTAATTCAGTTCCTGGTCATATCAATAGCAGCAATGATATTGCTCCTTATCTTCCATAATACAACGGAACCCAACATACTCTATCAGCCAGATATGCTCCCGTATCGTATACAACTGAGTGAGATTCAAGGGGAATTGGTTTGGCCAATACATGATGTCAGTGTCGGACTGCCTATCAGTCACATCCGGGACCTTGGTGAGAACAAATCACGTGTTCTTCTGGTTATAATTGTATCAACAGCACCATTGAGAAGAGAAAGAAGAGAAGCTATCCGACAGACGTGGTGGAAACATTGCAAAGCCGAAGAGGTAAATGGAGAAGAGCGTAAGGGTTTGCGGTGATGCGGTTTTGCGGAAATTTTTATTTCAAGTTGCGGTATTGCGGTTTTACAAAACCAAGCGGTTTTGCGGTATTTAGAAATTTTCGGGTAATTCCAAAGCGGTTTGCAAAGTTTCTTATGTTTTTCTGTGCGGTGTTTATACGTATTTTTGTGTGGTTTTGCGGTATTCGTGCCCCCTTACGTCCCCCTCTATATGGTGAATTTCTTACGTAATTGCTTGTAGTACCTCGTAGATAAAACTACAGTGACCAGATTATGAAAACATACAGCTGGATGATCTTTAAGTTTGAAATATATCCTGTTTTAGAGAGTTTCAGGATACAAAAAACAAACAACAAACGAAGGCAACGTTAAGAGTTTATAGAGGGGTCAGGATATTTAGCGATAGATATTACGAGCCTGGAGGAGTATTCCTTTATGAAATGTCTGGGGTGCTTGGCAAAAAATTCCAACATCAGTCCCAAATGAAAACATAAAACTTGCGTTAAAGGTGTGGCACAAAATTTTTAACCCTAAAGAGGTACCTAACAAATCAATTGAGGGACTGATAGTTACTATTATGGTCTGGGTCGACATCCTTACAGCCCCCCTCAAAAGTTACAGCTACAGCTCCTGACTCGTCCCCAGTCTTCTCTGTTTAGATCGAACGTGGAGAGGGGAACACGAAAAGCGTGACCAAAGAGAGGGCGAGGGGTGATGGGAAGGACGAAAATGAAAGGGAGAGAGAGTCTCCCCAGGCCTCTTTCTCCTTCTTATCACCCCTCGCTCTCTCCTTTACCACGTTTCTAGTTGGTATTAATAGTAGACTGAGAGACGACTGGTAACCAGTCAGGCCACAGCTCTTCAGGTGTTCGAGTTAGAAAAATGATCTAATGTACTAGTCTTTCATGTCGCATTTTCTCTTTGTAGGTCGCTTGTCATTTCTTCACAGATGGACGAGTAGTGAACACGAAAATCCAGCGAAGTCTTTTAAAAGAAAGATCACTTTATGGAGACATGGAATTTCAACCGTTACTGGGCGGGATAGAATTTGGATTACGCTTTCTGTACCACGCGAAGTGGACCGCGGCTAGATACGACTTTCAGTACTTCCTTCGAGTGGACGATGATTACTTTGTATGTCTTGAGAAGTTGCTTAATGAGTTGCCGCTACGTCCTAAAGAAAATCTTGTTTGGGGAAATTTTCACTGCGAAATAAATGGCTCATGGGTCGACGAGTCTTGGATGGTGTTCTCACGTGATATCGTGGAGACTTTTTTGACGCAAGACGCGCGCACGATGCTATGTCACCCTCACGCTGACCAGCAAATTGCTTTATGGCTCAACAAAATCTCTGATAAGTTGTATTTTCATGACCACAGACTTAATCATTGGGTGCCTGATACATTTGACTGGCAGGCCAAGAACATTTGTGATAAGTACTTGGGTGTTCATAAGGCATTTGCCCCACGGATGTTGCAGCTGGGGAAAGCCAGCGGAGATGGCCCGCAAGAGGTTCCTCCAGTATCTAACTTCTCTGTGTATTGCGACCTCAAAACGTTTGACTATAAGATGTTCGATCCTAGTTCAATCTTTTTCTACGAACCCAAGCCTTGTGTTGATAATTTCTTGTGGGTAAAAAATCATCGTTTGTGGATCGGACAGGAGGGCAAGGTCAATACTTGAATAAAAGGAAGATAATGGAGTCCCAAAAAGTCAGCACGCCGTAAAGCCAGGAGATCAATGAGAATAAGGCTGCCCGCGGAAAGAGAACCTACAACTTTCATCCTGTCCAGGTCCCAGTTGTTCAAACGTTGAATAGCGCTATTCACCGGATAAATCATTATTCAGCGGATAAGAATTAGGTAAACCAATTGCGCTTTTCAGTGGATAGAGACTTATCCAGTAGATAGCGTTATTCGCCTTTTTAACAACTGGGGCCAGAAACAACTTGAGCAACGGNCTATGTCACCCTCACGCTGACCAGCAAATTGCTTTATGGCTCAACAAAATCTCTGATAAGTTGTATTTTCATGACCACAGACTTAATCATTGGGTGCCTGATACATTTGACTGGCAGGCCAAGAACATTTGTGATAAGTACTTGGGTGTTCATAAGGCATTTGCCCCACGGATGTTGCAGCTGGGGAAAGCCAGCGGAGATGGCCCGCAAGAGGTTCCTCCAGTATCTAACTTCTCTGTGTATTGCGACCTCAAAACGTTTGACTATAAGATGTTCGATCCTAGTTCAATCTTTTTCTACGAACCCAAGCCTTGTGTTGATAATTTCTTGTGGGTAAAAAATCATCGTTTGTGGATCGGACAGGAGGGCAAGGTCAATACTTGAATAAAAGGAAGATAATGGAGTCCCAAAAAGTCAGCACGCCGTAAAGCCAGGAGATCAATGAGAATAAGGCTGCCCGCGGAAAGAGAACCTACAACTTTCATCCTGTCCAGGTCCCAGTTGTTCAAACGTTGAATAGCGCTATTCACCGGATAAATCATTAT